TGTATCTTGTCAAACTATAGCTTGGAATTAAAGAGCATATTCATTAACCATTTCACGACAAGGTCAAGCCTGACAGTAGCCACCAACCAGCAGGATGAACATTCTTTTTCTTTTTCCTTTTTTGACATGGGAATTCACTAAGTTGCCCAAGGCGGCCTTGAACTTTTGATCCTCCTGCCTCAGCCTCCCAAGTAACTAAAACTACAGGTGCACGCCACTACACATGGCACCATAATTCATATTTGCTTTTTCTTTTTTTTGGTACCGGAGATTGAACTCGGGTTCTTGCGCTTGCACAGCAGGCAGCGAAACCACTGAGCTAAATCCCTGGCCCCCATAATGCATATTTTCGATAATGGCCCTATTTAGAAAGTTAAAAATGGCTTAGCTCGATGATTCCAACACCTCCCTCACAAGCACAAGGTCCCGAGTTCAAAAAAAAAAAAAAAGAAAAATAGGCTTGTTGTATGAAAGCAGGGACATTTGTGTCACATTTTGGTGAACTCCATCCAAAATGTTTGAACTAAAGAAAGTTGGTACATTCATAAAATTATTTAGTAGATAGATGGATAACATTTTTCTGTTATTTTCTTTCTATTATTGCAATTAAGCATCTTTTCATTTCTTCTGTGAATGTTCCATTGTCTTATAGGGCTGTTTTATTTTTTCTTATTGATTTTGTAAGAAATCTTTACATATTAGAGATAATACCATTTTATCATATTTTTTACACCAATAACACTCCCTTACCCCAATTTGTTGTTTGGCTTTGATGGTAGGATTTTCCGCCTCTCACATGTAGGAAGTTTCTGATTTTTCTTGTTTTTTTGGTACCGGGGATCAAACTCGGAACCTTGCATTTGTGAGGCAGGCGGTGGAACCACTGAGCTAAATCCCTGGTCCAGTGTGATTTTTTATAACCAAGATTTGTTCTTTTCCTTATGTCTTCTCTGTTGAATAGTATGCTTAAAAACAAATTTTCTCCACAAGCAAAGGGGGCATTTGTCAGGTATTTTAAATAACCAAGACTTTCCTATATTTAGAATCTGGGCAAGGTTTTGTGAAGATGGTGGGATTGTATCTGATTTTTTTCTTTTTCTAAAAGCAGCTTCCTTTCTCCCTGGAGGTAAATGATGAACTAGAAAGCCACCCAAGCCCACTCCCTCCCTCTAGGCAGACAGGTTCTGGTTGGCATATTGAGTAGCCTGTTTGCTGGTAGCAGTTAAGACAAAACAAGTTTAGGGTAACTGCAAAACTGGTAAAACAAGAAAGGCAATTTTGGGAGCAGGCTGTGAACTGAAGGAAAGGTAGGGCTGGATAACCTGCTAGAAACTTGTCACGCTCTGGGAATGGGGCGAGTTTAAGTTAAACTTGAACTGGGGAATTAAAATCATCCTCTGGTTTTCCTGTCAGAGTTCTCTCATTTTTCTTGAATTCACAGGAACATATGGGAACGTTCTAGAAAGAAAGGCCAGGATGTAGTAGAACCAGCCTTAGCTCTGTGATTGGTTCTGCGTTCCTGGCTCTCATTCTGTGGCCTTGGGCAAGGCAGTTGGCTTCTCTGGACTTGGTGTCCTCCGACTGCTCTAAGAACAAACAGGCCCAGACCTCTCAGTGGGTGATACTGAAGCAGGCCTTGGCTGCCTGAGCCTGGAGCACTTCCATTTGCACAACATCTCTGGGCTGTAGGAAGTGAGAACCTGACCCTAAGTCATTAAGTCACTTGCCAAAGTCATGCCAAAGTCACACCAAAGCCAAGATTTGAACCCAGGGCCATCTGGCTCTAGAGCTCTAGGGCACCTCTCCACCAATTATGAACAGCCCCCTTCCAGGAGCTCCAGGCCACCACCCTTGTCGGGTACACACCCTCTGGGTGTGACGGGAAAGTGATTCTAGGGTCTGGGTCCTCATTCTGTGCTTTTGCAGGGCCCCAGCCTCAGCGGTGTCCTCCACCAGCACATTCTTCCCCCGAAGTTGAGCAAAAGCCGTCACCCTGCACATTGGCCACAGCACACAATAAGGTGGCTGTTGGGGCCTGATGACTGCTGCCCGAGGCAGCCTGGTGACCCTCGGAGCACACCAGTCAGGAGAAACAGAAACAGAAAGTCTTTCTCCCTGCCACCAGGACCGAGTTGAGTAGCAAGGAAACCCAGGAGCATTTCTGTCTGCATCTCTCAAATACACATCAAAGCCAGGCTTGGTGGCACAGGCCCGTATCCCGGCTCCTCGGGAAGCTGAGACAGGAGGAGTGCAAGCTCAAGGCCAACCTGGGCAACTTAGCCAGATCCTGCCTCAAAAATTAAAAAGGGCTGGGGGTTAGCTCAGTGCTAGAGCACCTCTGGGCTAAATCCATAATACTGGGAGGAAAAAAGAAAGTATATTGAACGACCCGAGTTTTGCAGAATAGCTGATAGTACTCCCATGGCTGTCGAGGGTCTGTCAGCAACCCCTGGTCCCCTGCCTTCCTTATCTGAAGATCAGCCTGCAGCACTAACAGCAATCATGCGGGCTCACAGATGACAGGGCTGCCCGCCCAGGAGGTTAAACACGCATCAGGCAAGGCTAAGGTTGGCTCGGGCAGTAACTCCCCTGATCTCTGCAGGTCTGCTGGGAGGCAGAACACCCAGGGTTAGGTAGGGCAGGTGGCCTGCACCCCCCCACCCCCAGTACCTCGGAGCCACTTCCAAAGTGGTCACGGGAAAGAAGGTTCAGGCACGGCCCTTGGGGACTTGCCCCACCGGCTGTTAGCTGAGAGGAGCTGGCCTGGAGCTCAGCCAGAGGACTATGCCAGAAGCCCACCTCCGGGGAGGAGGGACATGGGAGTGGGGTGGCAGGGGCCACAGGTTGAGGATGATTCCCAGGCAGCAGAGGCCCATGGGGCATTTGCTGGACCATGGAACCTGACCCTGGAAATGATATGAAGTCAAACAAATGATTGAAGTCCATTTATTGAGCATTCAGCACACACGGGGCGTTCTGCTAAGTGTGTCTGATGCATTGTTTTTCTTTCTTTTTGGTTTCTGATGTTGAAAATCAAACCTAGGGCCTGGTACATACTGAGCATATGTTCTTTTTTTGGGGGGGTACCGGGGATCGAACTCAGGTCCTTGCACTTGCAAGGCAGGCGTCAGAACCACTGAGCTAAATCCCCGGCCCCTCCCTTACTATTTTAAAGAAATTTTTCTTTTCCTGGTCACTAATGGCAGTTTTATCTTCTATATCTGAAATTCTGTCCTCACATTGGTTCATTCTGCTGCATAAACTTTCAGTGGAGTTTTTAATCTCCTGGAAATTTGTTTGCATCTGTTTTATGGATTCCATTTGTTTCCTATGTTAGGATTCCATAATGTTCCTCAGCTCCTCTATTTTTTTAAATCTGTGTCTGCTCTAGATTTATTAATCATGTCTTGTACTATGGGCACAATCTCTGCTGTTATCTGAGAAATTATTTCTGATTTCATTTTTTCCAGATCCACTTTTGTTGCCAGTTCAGGGAGTCCAGGTGGTTGAGTATCAGATTGTTCCATCTCGTCTCCCTTTGGGGATGGTTTAGGTGATCTGGAAGTCTGGTTTTGAGATTTGTTTACATGTCTTCTCATGAGGCGGGGGTTGTGCTGCTGGTGCCCATGTTACTCACCTACTCGGCGTTAGGGGCGGCTCTGCTTCTCAGTGCTGGGGGCACTGAGCATATGTTGTACCACTGATTTATGCCCCCAATCTGGTGCACTATTTTTAATTCTTATGACATCCTTATGAAATAATTCCTACTGCTGCTCCATGGAATACATGAGGAAACTGAGGCACGCAGAGGTGAGGCAACCCACCCAGCTGAACAGTGGCCAGGCCATGGTTCAGACTCCATCTGTCTGCATGCCTAGCGAGCCTTCTTTCCACCATGCACTGGGTGTTTGATTTAAGCATATAATGCTGACTTCGTGCACCTTTTTTCACAGCTGTAGTTAACATGTTCTAGATGGTTGGCCAGCTGTGGCTACTCACTCTGGCTGGAATCCGGCCTACAGAACTCCTCACATGCCCGAGACCCTCCCTGGCCTCCAAGGTAGCAGCATTTCCCTCATTTCCCTCCTTCGGGTTGGCTTCTGGCTCCACCCACCTTGGGGTCCTTGTCCCCCTGGGCTCTGTGTCCACCTGAGCAAACCCACTTCTCTGGACCCAGCAAGGATGCTGAGGAGGGGAGGGGAGTGCAGCTGTCCCCTGCAGGCCCCAGGGTGAGGGCCACCCAAGTACTATGCAAGTGTGCCCTCCACTGTCCCCAGCCCTCTGCAGGGCACTTCATCTGGTGCCATGTCCTTGGTCCTCATGACGACCTGCCAAGGGGAAAGGAAGGAGGGGACAGGGAGAGGTTTCACATGGAGCCCAGAGTTCCAAGCATGGCCAGGCCATGTCTGGGTCCACGTTTCACCTACCAGAAGGTATTACCTCGTGTCCCATGTTCCATTCTGCCAGAAAGCACAGTGCTCCGGGTGAAGGACATTGAGATTCTAGAGATGAACAGATGGCATCTGGGAACTGGACTATTTCAAGTAGTCCTCGTCACACTTCCAAGATGGGTTCTGTTGTCACATTTGCTAGGTGGGAATGTGAGGCTCAGGAAGCTGAAGGCAGTCATCTACCCTGCAAAGCTGGGGTCGTGTGGGTGCCATAGTGGACAGCCAAAGATAGAACATTTCTGTCCTTGTTGAAAGTTCTGTTAGACAGTGCTGTTCCAGGGAAAGTGAGGTGTGGACAAAGGGTTTGTCTCCTACATATTCCACTTGCATTTAAGGGCTCTGACAAGTCCTGCAATACAACTCAGTTTCACCTGGAGCCCACCACTCCCCAAATTTGCTTGCCCACAGAGCCTTCCTAATACCTGTAACATTCTCCTTGCCCCTAAACACACCAGTTTTCCTCCCCTGAAGTCCCCAGTCCTCAGTGGCCCATGGTTGTTCTATTACCCTTGTGAGGAATCCAACTCTGTCTTCTCATTCTGTTCCCAGATTGCTTTGGGTCCCCAGTGTTCATGCCCATCAAGGCAGACATAAGTGGCAACATCACGGTAAGTACTTGGCCTGGCAGCCATAAACTCTCAGCTGAGGAAGAGGAGGGAGATGCACTAAACAGGCTGGGCCCCGGGCTCAGGCAACTAGGGCTCAAGGTTCTGCTACTCCTCCTAGATAGTCAAGCCATCTAGATGCAGCCTGGGTGGGACCAGAGTCTCAAGGGTTGACCCTGAGAAGGGCCTGCTGCTGTCTTTTGTTCACTTCTGCCCCAAAACTCCAGCAGGCCATGGTGGTGCACACCTGTACTCTCAGCACTCAGGGAGGCTGAGGCAGGAAGACAGCAAGTTTGAGCTGAGCTCAAATGCAGTGAGACCCTGTTTCAAAAGAAAAATAGAAAGGGCTGGGGATGTAGCTGAGTGCAAAGTTCTTGGTTTAATCACCAGTACGTACTGCAGAACAAAATAACCCTCCAAAGTCCATGGATGTCGTGGACCTGACTCTCATTCCTGAGTTCTGGGGATTCCCTGTGCCATCTGCTCTCCTGTGAGGATCTGCTCCCGGCCTACTCTGAGGGTCTCAGTTCTACCTGCCAGCAGCCCCGGGAGGCTGGTCCTGTTATTATCCCCATGGCTTCATTTCAGAAAATCCCCCTACCTCAGAGGAGTTGAGGGACTCACTTAAGGTCACACAGCAAGAAAGTGGCAGAGCTGAGATTCATACCCAGGACCACCTGGGTCCTTCAGAGGCCTTTGAACCTGGACATCCTAGAATCCTAAGAGGATCCCGAAGTCTTTGAATCCAAGATTTCACTCATCCCTAAAAGCAAAATCTGAGGTGCCTGCTGCCCATGGCAGTGTTGCCAGTGGTTGGAGGACATGGACTCTTAAGTCAGCTGAGCTGGGACCCACACTCACCTGCACAGCTGTGTGGCCTGGGCCACATCACTGCCCCTCTCTGAGCCTCAGTGTCCTTATCTGTAGATTGAGTACCGACAGAGCAACATGTGGGTACCCATGGGCATCCTGTAATAACGCAGTGCCCACAAAGCACTTTGTCTGCTCTGGCTCATGGACGCACTCGACACATGTGAACAGGGGCCATTCCTGTTAGGATGAGTCGAGTCCCTGCTGCTCCCGGCAGGCGGCAGGCGAGAAGGAGGAGGAGGTGCCTGTGGTTGCTCCTCCCCCGGTACTCGGGGTGCTGTCTATGGGGCAGCCTTTCCTAAGGGACAACCCCATGTGCTACATTTCAGAAAATTAAAGCCGTGTACGACACCAACCCAACCAAGTTCCGGACCCTGCAGAACATCCTGGAGGTGGAGAAGGAAATGTATGGGACAGAGTGGCCCAAAGTGGGGGCCACGCTGGCGCTAATGTGGCTGAAAAGGTGATGGGCTTGGGGGTAGGGCCTGGAGGTTCCCCTGTGCTGTAGCGGAGGGAAGCAGTCCCTGCCACTGCCAGCATGGGGTTCAGATGCCCTTCTGGTACAGTGCTAATCGATGGCTGGGAAAAGTCTCCTGAGGGCCAGTTCACATAAGCACAGTTGTACAGATTGTGAACTGCATTAGGGGTATCCTGTTTGGGGCTGCTCATATATGTAAATTGTATATTTGTATATTATACAAATATTTGTAGATTTGTATGTTATGGCAGTTTATGGACAGAAATACAGCATTTTGTTTGCTTGTTTGTTTTTTGGTACCAGGAACGGAACTCAGGACCTTGCACTTGGCAGGCAGGCGAGGTGCCACTGAGCTACATCCCCAGTCCTATGTTTGTTTGTTTTTTGAGACAGGGTCTCACTATGTAGTTCAGAATGGTCTTGAACTTAACACGTATCCCAGGCTGGCCTCAAATTTGTAGTGATCCTCCTCCCTCAGCCTCCTTAGTGCTGGGATTACAGGCGTGCGCCACCATGCCTGGCTAGAGATACAGCATCTTGAGGAGTTTTGTCTAATTGGCACAAGTATGTCCTATGGGCCAGGGACACTGCCCTGAGCCCACTCAGATAATCCCAGGGCTGGCACCCATTGGATTTTTTATTTGGGCTCCCTGCTGTCTCCACACCCTTCTCCTTGCTCTTGGAGTGGCCCCTGGAATCGCAGACATGACTTGGGGCAGGCAGAGGGGCAATGTAGCAGATTTAGAAAGACCTGGGGACAGCAGGGTGGGAGTGAGGAGCCTGCGCCAGGCTGCCCATGTGCCAATGTGTCCCTGGTCTGTGAGCCCTCTGTGGGCCAGCGCTGTGGCTTCACCCTTCCAGCCACCTGCCATGTGCCAGCCCGTGAGAGGCTACATGGCCACAGAAAAAGCAAGGCAGGCCAGTCCCTGCCCTCGAGGATCTTAAAGCCTAGCAGAGACTATTGTTAGGGGTCCAGCACCGGCTCTGGTGGAAAGAAGGGACTTGAGCCAAGTGGTCATATTCCTTATAAGCAGGAGTCCAAGATATCAGTTGAGGGAGAGCCGCTTCCTTTTGTGGGGTTGTACTTCCGAGTCACAGTAGGTACTTCACTCACAGCCGGCAGGGCCGCCATAACAGGGGGGTGCCAGCTGTGGACCAGGGTCCAAATGTACCATCTCCTCTCTGTCCTCAGAGGCCTCCGCTTCATCCAGATCTTCCTCCAGAGCATCTGTGATGGGGAGCGGGATGAGAACCACCCCAACCTCATCCGCGTCAATGCCACCAAGGCCTATGAGATGGCCCTCAAGAAGTACCATGGCTGGCTTGTGCAGAAGATCTTCCATGTGAGCCACCCCCAGGGGACCAGGGAACCCCATTCTGTCCCCAGGCCAGGACTACAAGCTTGCAGATTCCATTCTCTGCTCTGGCAGTTTTTTCTTTTTTTGTTTTTCTGTTTTTGGTTTTCTGAGACAGGGTCTCACTGTGTAGCTTGCACCAGCTGTGTGATACACCAAGATGAACTCGGAGGTCACCTACAACATGTAGGCCTCAAACTTGCGGTGATCTTCCTGTCTCAGCTTCCCAAGTGCTGGGATTACAGCCATGAACCTCCACACCTGGCTCTCCTACTTCTTAGCTGTGTCTTTGGTGCCTGTATTTGCCCCTGGGTCTGGGAATGGCCCACTGTCCCTTGGGGGCAAGGCTGATACTGGTATACTGAGGGCCCTGTGTGCATGTGGCCAGCCCTGGGGCATGGCGTGCTAGCCATTACTGCAGATGCTCCCTGGGCCCTCTGAGTGCCCCACCCTGGAAGGCCTGGCCAGAGGCTGAAGGCCGAGGCAGGAGGATCACAAGTTCAAGCCCAGTCTGGGCAACTTAGTGAGACCTTCTCTCAAAAAGAAAGAAAAAAAAAAAGAAGAGCCAAGGATGTAACTCAATGCAAAGGCCCTGAGTTCAACCTCTAGTTCTAATCTTCAAAGGAGAGAGAGAGGGAGAGAGAATATCTGGGGCAAAGCCTGTGGGCTCACAGGTGGGTGGTGGGTCGTCCTCCTTGGCCCCTTGGATTCTGCCCACATTCTCACCTCAGGCAAGGAGGAGAGGAAAGGCTTTGTCTCCATGGAGGCACATGCTGAAAGGACCGTGGCCTGCAGGGCTCTTGTGGCCTGAGTTAGGATGACATTGGCCAGAGTTCCTGGACATGGGGCTTCAGCCTAGTTAGCTGAATGTCTCTAGGTCACCAGGCTGAGAAGCCCACTGAGGAGATGTGCAAGGGCCTTCAAGATGCCCAGCATGCTCCTGGCACCTGTCTCTCGCTGCCCCACCTCACTCTGTGTGGGCTCACCTGGTCTGCTATGCCAGCCCTTCCACTGCAGCCCACTGTGCCTGCGCATTCTCACTGCCATGAGAACCAGGAGGCCTGGTTGGGAGCTGGGCTGGGTCCAGGCAGGAAGAGCTGGACACAGGGCAGAAACACAGGCAGAAACACCTCTGGGCCATCTGCCCTGGCATGGCCCATCTGGGCAGCACCTTGAGACCCCGCTCTTCCTGCAGCACATTCCCCGTGAAGGCCTGGCAATCGCCTCTTAGTAGTAACAGTGTTCTGCAGGCCTGGCAGCTGCCGTGAGCTGTGATCTCCATGAGGCAGCTCACTTCTCACTGTGCTGCACAGTGTACAGATAGTGCCGCTCAGACTGGTGAAAGGGGGAAGGACTGGCTGCACACAGAGGTATGTGCCTATAGTCCCAGGTACTCACGAGGCTGAAGCGGAAGGAACATTTGAGCCCAGGAGTTTGAGCTCAGGCTGGGCAACATAGCAGGAACTTGTCTCAAAGAAAAAGTCAGGAGGTGGGGGCTGGGACTGTACCTTCCTGACCCTTAGTCTTCTCATTCAAATAGGTGTAAAACATGAAATGACCCTACAAGGATCATTGTGAAAAACAAGTCAATCTGTATAAAGTGCTTGGCACGCAGTTTACATTCAGGAAATTAGGGCTGGAGATTTAGCTCAGTGGTACTGCCACCTGCCTCGCAAGCGCAAGGTCCTGAGTTCAATCCCCGGTACCAAAAAAAAAAAAAGACATTCAGGAAATCAAAGCTACTACTACTTTCATTATTAATGATAACACTATTTGTATTTTCCCCATCCTGTCAAACCTGTAGCCTGGCTCTACAGTTCTGTGAATCTCTATACTTTTTTCAGATGTCAGGGAAGCCCTGAAATATAAGGAAGCATCACCCTCTAAGCACACAAAAGAGCCCACACCATGAATTAGCAGCCTTCTCCGGAAAGTGAGCTTCTTGATCAGGGAGAGAAGAGCTCCATACAGGAGTTGGCACCCAGGCTTGCCTGTCTCCAGGCTGGTGTCCTTCCTGTGGTCCCCCCTGGGGTGGAAGGCATAACACACCTTCCTTTCCTTTTTCTTTCCCTTCTCACCCCCAGGGGAAGACCCTGGGGGCTTCTTCCCTGTCCCCTTGCTGGCCTGGTGTCTGGCCTGCTAACGACATGCCCGCCTCCCCTCTTGCCCATCTCAAGGCAGCGCTCTACGCGGCCCCCTACAAATCTGACTTCCTGAAAGCACTCTCCAAGGGGCAGAATGTGACGGAGGAGGAGTGCCTGGAGAAGATCCGCCTCTTCTTGGTCAACTACACGGCCACCATCGATGTCATCTATGAGATGTTCACCAAGATGAATGCAGAGCTCAACTACAAGGTGTAGGCAGCTCCCTTGTGGGGCTACACTCAGAAACAAGCAAGCCTGGATCACTGTGAACCAAGTCTCGTTCACCCACTGCTCACAGCCCCCGGACCATCCTGGGCTGCAAAGGACAGCCTTGGTATTTTTTCAGTCTTTTTTTTTTTCAGTTTATTCTATTGGAGCAATAAATAATGATCCTCTTTTGAATCTTTGAATTTCACAACAGCACAGACTGACTGTACATCTTCATTTCAGTGTGATAAAAATCAATTAACCAACCTGGCTCGGTGGTGCATGCCTGCAATCCCAGCTACATGGGAAGCTGAGACAGGAGGATCATAAGTTTGATCCCAGCTTGGTGCAACTTAGAGAGATCCTGTCTCAAAAAAAAAAAAAAATTAAAAAGAATTGGGAATCTAGCTCAGTGGTAGAATGCTTGTCTAGCATAGGTGAGGCCCTGGGCTCAATCCCTGGCACCACAAAACATAAAAGCAAAATTAACATTTCTAATAAATGAAGTCCTGGGGGGGTCCCCCCCACAAAGAGTACTGCCCTAGGGGAGTGGTACACACCTCACTTCACAGAGAAGCACATGTTCCTCTGAGGATCTGGCTGAATGATGTTTTGGGTATTTTAGGGAGTGTGAAAGATTTGACTGAAAATTTTGCAGGATCCTTATTGTGGTATTCTTTAAAAAAAGCAAATTGGTGTGTGTTCTAATGTGGTTTGCACAGCCCAGCCTCACAATGCTGTCATTAGAAACCATCTGCCTTTTGCCAGTCTTTTTTTGTTTTTTAATAGCTGAAACCAACCAGCAAGCCTCTGATGACCAAAGGGCCATTTCTTTTCAATCTATTGGGCACAAACAATTGACCATTGATGACTGTATCTGCATTCTTCTGCATAATTATTTTCTTCAGGGACAATTCTTCCAACCTAAGAAACAAGCGGATTTCTGGGGAGGAAGAAATATACCCTCCAGCTGCTGAGACTTGAGAAGCCACCTTGCTGCCTTAATGGTCCTTTCTGACGCTAAAAAGAGCTTATATTTTTTAAAGTATTGGTGCAAACCAAGCAACTCCAAAAGATTTGATGTGTGTTTAATAAAAAACTCAATGAGGAACAATTGGTGATTTTTATGTAGAAACTAAATGATCCTTAATAAATAAATCTCTATTTTGGAATCACATCTGTGTGCTGTTTTGGTTCTTGATTCTTTCATTTATTTTCTGAATCCAAGGTTGCATTTGGGGACTCTTATAGAGATGCTACCAAGGGCCTCTTTTCTGGCCTCCATGGTTTGTTTGTTTGTTTGTTTGGTACTGGGCATTGAGCTCAAGACCTTGTGCTTTTGAGGCAGGCATGGAGCCACTGAGCTAAATCCCCAGACCAGGCCTCCCTCCATGATTTTAAAAAACAACTGGTTGCCACATGGAGAAACTGTGGAATTTCACATAAAAATCTTAGGTTTCTAGTTTCTTTTAAAAAACCAAGCTAGGGGCCGGGGATTTAGCTCAGTGTTTTCATCGCGTGCTGCGCAAGCACAAGGACCAGAGTTCAATCCCCGGTACCAAAAAAAACCCAAGCTGCCGGGCTGTAGGGAACAGGGAAAGGGGACATTACCAGAACCCCTGCAGTGAGTCCTGGTCTCCTGTGAGCTACAACAGCACAAGATGAATTAATGAATAAAGACAGGAAATGATACTTAGAGAAGAAGCTGAGCTCTGGGCCTGATCAGTGCTGCTCTGGGAAGCAAAGTTGAAGCCATCCTGAGCTTGCCACTGTTTATTGGGTTCATAGGGAGTAACAGATGACTCAGAGGGAAGCAGTAATCCTAAAACCATGAGGATCTTATGCTGATGAGGATCTTATGCTGAGAGTCTTATGTTGATTGGGATGGCAAGATGAGCAAAGATGTTCTTACAACAGTAGGTGGGATGAATGAAGCTTATAAGGAATTTGCCCCTCCCCAGGTGAAACCTTTCTACTCAGCATCAGGGGGCGCTGAAGTCTCTCAGCTGTGACCAGAGGCAAAAATGTAGGCTGGGCGAGATGGCACACGCCTACAGTCCCAGAGCTCAGGAGGCAGAGGCAGGAGGATCACTGAGTTTGAAGTCAGCCTGGGCTACATAGTTCAAGGCCAGCCTGAACTACTTAGTGAGACCCTATCTCAAAAAATAAATAAAATTTAAAAATTTTAAAATGAAGTTATGTTTCAGCATGTCATAGCTGGCCTATAGGCAAGAGTAGGCCTGCTCATAATTTAATTGTGAAATGATTTTCCCCAAAATTATGTAGAATTGCTCCCAACACTTGGCAGAAACAGGTAATTGGCTCCTTGTTTAGATAGGGTAAAGGCATTTTTCACATTGCCTCAGTCTCCACCCATCCCTGTTGTCTTTTTTTGTTGTTTTTGGTACCAGGGATCAAACTCGGGACCTTGCACTTGTGAGGCAGGCCCCAAAACCACTGAGCTAAATCCCCAGACCTATCCCTGTTGTCTTTCCATCCCTGTGGCAAATTATTATTTGCACTTTATCATGGGCTGATGCTTTTTCTGATACTAGGGTTAAATGGAAAGAGAAACATTACTTTTTCTTCTGCTCCTACAGAGCTGATGGCCTAGTGGACAAGATGGACCAGAATAATGATACAGAGTGGTCAGGACCCAGAGGGACCCCCAGGCCACAGATGAGAGGCCACACTGTAGAGCTGCCCTGCATCTTAGTGGAAGTTGGGACATGGGGAGAGGACACTGCACACCATAGGCGAAGGTCTGGTGTCTTGACCAAGAGCAGGCTGTGTGTGTGTGTGTGTGTGTGTGTGTGTGTGTGTGTGCACATGTATGTCACATGGTGCTGCCATGGAATTTGAGCTTGCTGTTGAGAATTATGGAATACCTTTAAACGTCTTGTGCACAGTCTAATCAGTTCCCAGTTTCGAAGCCTCCCTCTAGAATAGCCAGGGGACGGAAGCCTGAGTTGAGTTTTGTACTTGTCTCTGATTTCATTATATTTTCTAATATTGCTGATACTATGGATGCTACTGTTCTTCCTAAGCACTTAATTGCTTCCTAGGAGTTTTCCCTTTGGGTTTCCTAGAGATACAACATTCTACAGCAATTAAAATAACCGTCTCTTTCTTTTCTTCATATTTCTAACACAATACAATGAGGCCAGGAGGGCACTTTCTTCATGGGAGGGAGGATTTTTCCCAGGACAGCCTCCTTCACTGCTGCTACCTGCTGGGGCCCCGATAGCTAGGGCTTTGGTCCTAGAGACAAGGCCAGTAGCACATCCGCATCTATGCCTTCCCATTTCCTCCTTGTCAAAGTGGGACTGAGTGTTACCTGGAGCAGGGAAGAAAGAACACACATTGAGCACTGGCTGTATACCAGGCCCTGCAAACAACATGCTTTAACACATCATTTCACCATTACCTAAGATGTGAGCAGGACCCAGAGTGACCCCCAGCCAGATGTGGGGGCACTGGGACTTCCCATCTGACTCCAAATCTTCCCTCAGCTCTATTGACCACTGAGCCAGTTGAAAGTGAGTTACACTTCCTGCCCGTGTGTTCCCGGGTTAACTGATAACTGCACAAAAGCCCAAATTAGCCATAAAGTTGGCCAAGACTGACCGATTCTTTTGTTTCCTTCAATGAAAACTCTAGGAGGCCCAGGGATTTAGCTCAGTGGCATCACACCTGCCTCGCAAGCACAAGGTTCTGAGTTTGATCCCCAGTACGGGGTGGGGGGCGGGCTCTGAGGCACTGTTTTGTTGTTGTTGTTGTTGTTTTTTGGTACCGGGGATCGAACTCAGGACCTTGCGCTTGCAAGGCAGGCGGCAGAACCACTGAGCTAAATCCCCGGCCCATAGGGCACTATTTTGAATCCATTATAATGTGTCTTTATTATAGCAGAGCAACCTAGGGTCAATTCACCCTTCAGAGCCTCAGTTTTCTTATCTGTAATATGGAAGTCTTTCTGGCTCCCACCTCACAGGGTTCCGAGAGGCTTAAATTAAACGTTATTAAAGTGTAAAGCAGAGCATTGCTGGAAGCCTGGCAGGCCGCTTTAGTGTTAATAAAACTGCAAGCCTATAGCTATGAGTTTGTGGGGGTGAGTGCAGGAATGGGAAGGGGTATTGGAGTCCGGGCTCGGCTATGCATTAGCGAAATCGCCTTGGACAATCACTATGCTTCTCAGTCTCAGATTCCTCTTCCATGCTGGGGTCATACCACAGATCCCAGCTCACGATGCCAATGAGACTGACCAGGCAGGCGCTGAGCTCCGTAATCGGTCAGTGACGCAGTTGTCACGGTTTGCAGGTTACAGAGGAACGGAGGAGGGATAGCTTCCTTCGGTTTCTCTGTCTGGTGAAAGGGTTTCCTTAGTTTGCTGAGGGCCGCTTCCCTCTTGCCCCCTTGCTCTTGGCGCGCCCTACTGCCCCTGCGCCTGCGCACTGAGCGCCTCCAGCTCTCTCGGGGTCCGGTAGGTGGCGATGTCGGCACTGCAGAGCCCGGAGCACTGTCAACCTGCACCTCCCGGACTGGAGCCCGCGTCTCCCGCCCAAAGAGGAAGGTCAGGCCTGGGGCTCACCCTCCCAGCGTGCTCGGGAAAGGTGTAAGTCCTTCCAGCTTACTCGGGGTTCTGATTTCAGGCTAACTTCTGTGTGGCGACTATTGCCACTACCAGCACCACCACCTAATGATTTTTGGATTCAAGTCTAGGTTCAGTAACTTTGTAGCTATGTGATCCAAGGCAAGTCAGCTCACTGCTCTGAGCCTCAGTTTCTAGATCTGTAAAGTGGAACAGGAACACCTTCACCTTTCAAGATTGCATAAAATAATGTATGTGTCAAGTGCCTGACACGTAGAAGATGTTCAATAGCTCTTTTTTTTGAGGGGGGCGGGTACCGGGGATGAACTCAGGATCTTGTGCTTGTGAGGCAGGCAGCTGCACCATTGAGGTAAATCCCCGGCCCAGTAGCTCTTTTTAATTTTATTTATTTGATGCTACGACTTGCCAGGGACCTCTGAAGGGATAACCCACCCCCAGTGCAATTACAATAGTTAAACCACAGCATGCTCAGTTAAGCTCACTTGGTCTGTGTTTGTGACTGGAGGTTGAACCCAGTGCCTCCTGCATGCCAAGCAAGAGCTACATCCCCAGCCCTTTTATCTTTATTTTTTAAATTATGAAATATTTTTAAAATTATTAAATTTCCCTGGCTGGCCTCAAACTTGTAATCCTCCTGTCTCAGCCTCTAGAATAGCTGGGATTACAAGTATGCACTTTGTTCTTAAAGATACAGTAGTGCCCAGTCAGGTGTGGTGATACACGGCCTGTAATCTCAGCACTTGGAGGCTTAGGCAGGAGGATTGCAAGTTCAAGGCCCCACCAGGGTAATTAGCAACATAGTGAGACCCTGTCTCAAAATAAAAAATAAAGGCCGGGGATTTAGCTCAGTGGTTTCACTGCCTGCTGTGCAAGCTCAAGGACTGGAGTTCGAACCCCGATATCAAAAAATAAAAAATTAAAATTAAAAAATAAAAATGGCTGGGGATGGAGTTCAGTGCAAAAGCCCTGAGTTCAGTCCCAGTATCCCCTCAAAGTTATATATATTAGTCCACATCAATATATATCAACAAGGCACAGCCCAGACATGCACAGCCCATTCCTTGCTCTGCCCAGATCTGTGTAATCACTTCTCCCCCCAGGCCCTCAGTTTCCTCGTTTTTAAAATTTGAGGATTAGCTTGCTCCTTGCCTGCCAGCTCTGACACCATAGACACCCCTTATTACAGATAGGTAAGTTCATTAGATATCTTTAGGCAGTTAGACAGGGCCAGCCCAGAAAGAGCCAACATGGAGGACAGTCAAGACACATTCACTGAAGGCAAGAATTGTAAAAGGAAACTGCCACACTCATGAAGTATGAATAGCAGTGGTTGATATTCTCAATAGGTATCCATCACCTGGGTGAAGGACCAAGATCTTCCAAGAAAGATCCCTGACCCACCCCTTTCCACTGAAAATCCTTGCTCAGTTCCTTGTAGGCTTTACGTGACTTGTTTCCCTGTTGGATCCCCATTTAATCAATATTACCTAGGTGACTGTACTTGTAATCTTTTTTTTTTTTTTTTTTGGTACCAGAGATCAAACTCGTGTCCTTGCACTTTCGAGG